TCTAACCATCTCATCCTCTATTGTCCCCTTCTCCTCTGGCCTTCAGTCTTTCCCAACATCAGGGCTTTTTTCAAATGAGTCAGCTCTTTGCATCAGGTGGCCAAAGTATTGGAGTTTCATCTTCAACATCAGTCCTTTCAATGACCACCCAGGACTGATTTCTTTTATGATGAACTGGTTGGATCTCCGTGCAGTCCAAGGGACTCAAAAGTCTTCTCCAACACTACAGTTCAAAAACATCAATTCTTTGGCACTCATCTTTCTTTATAGTCCAACTCTCACATCCACACATGACTACTGGGAAAACCATAGCCTTGACTAGACAGACCTTTGTTGACAAAGTAATGTGTCTGATTTTTAATATGTTGTCTATGTTGGTCATAACTTTCCTTCCAAAGAATAAGCGTCTTTTAATTTATTGGTTGCAATCACCATCTGCAGTGATTTTGGAGCCCAGAAAAATAAAGTCAGCCACTGTTTCCCCATCTATTTCCATGAAGTGATGGGACAAGATGCCATGATCTTAGTTTTCTGAATATTGAGCTTTAAGCCAACTTTTTCACTCTCCTCTTTCACTTTCATCAAGAAGCTCTTTAGTTCTTCTTCACTTTCTGCCAAAAGGGTGGTGTCATCTGCATATCGGAGAAGGCAATGGCAACCCACTTGAGTACTCTTGCCTGGAAAATCCCATGGATGGAGGAGCCTGGTAGGCTGCAGTCCATGGGGTCCCTAAGAGTCAGACATAACTGAGCATCTTCACTTTCACTTTTCACTTTCATGCATTGAAGAAGGAAATGGCAACCCACTCCAGTGTTCTTGCCTGGAGAATCCCAGGGATGGGGGAGTCTGGTGGGCTGCCGTCTATGGGGTCACACAGAGTCGGACACGACTGAAGTGACTTAGCAGCAGCAGCACCAGCAGCATCTGCTTATCTGAGGTTATTGATATTTCCTCCAGCAATCTTGATTCCAGCTTGTACTTCATCCAGACCAGCATTTCTTATGATGTACTCTGCATATAAGTTAAATAAGCAGGGTAACAATATCCAGCCTTCACACAATCCTTTTTCTATTTGGAGCCAGTCTGTTGTTCCATGTCCAGTTCTAACTGTTGTTTACTGACCTGCTTACAGGTTTCTCAAAGAGGCAGGTCAGACGATCTGGTATTCCCATCTTTTTCAGAATTTTTCACAGTTTATTGTGATCCACACAGTCAAAGGCTTTGGCCTAGTCAATAAAGCAGAAATAGATGTTTTTCTGGAACTCTCTTGTTTTTTCAATGATCCATTGGATGTTGGCAAGTTGATCTCTGGTTCCTCTGCCTTTTCTAAAGCCAGCTTGAACATCTGGAAGTTCACAGTTCACATATTGTTGAAGCCTGGCTTGGAGAATTTTGAGCATTCTTTACTAGTATGTGAGATGAGTGCAATTGTGCAGTAGTTTGAGCATTCTTTGGCATTGCCTTTCTTAGGGATTGGGATGAAAAGTGACCTTTTCCAGTCCTGTGGCCACTGCTGAGTTTTCCAAATTTACTGACATATGAGTGTAGCACTTTCACAGCATCATCTTTTAGGATTTGAAATAGCTCAACTGTAATTCCGTCACCTCCACTAGCTTTGTTCGTAGTGATGCTTCCTAAGGCCCACTTAACTTCACATTCCAGGATGTCTGGCTCTAGATGAATGATCACACCATTGTGATTATCTGGCTTATGAAGATATTTTTTGTATAGTTCTTCTGTGTATTCTTGCCACCTCTTTTTAATATTTTCTGCTTCTGTTAGGTCCATACCATGTCTGTCCTTTATTGAGCCCATCTTTGCATGAAATATTCCCTTGGTTATCTCTAATTTTCTTGAAGAGATCTCTAGTCTTTTCTATTCTATTGTTGATTTTTGCTTTGCTTCCACCCTTGGCTATTGTGAATAGTGCTTGTTGTATGAACATGGATATGTAAGATTTAGGTGTAAGCTTTATAATGAAATTTGTGATCCATTTTATTTTTGCAAAACATGTGTGGTTTAAGATGAGGCTCATCATTTGGGTAATCAATTCCTCTAGCAACATTTGTTGAAAGACTCTTTGGCAGTACTTGTATGGGGCTATTTCTGATTTCTTTATTCTGTTCCACTTTTCTGTATATCTGTCCTTCTATCAGTACCACAGTCTTGTGTAACAGTTATGTAATAAATCTTAAAATTAAATGAAGCAATTCCTCCAACTTTATTCTGATTTTTAAATAGCATTTCAGCTTTTCTTTTTCCCTTTTCAAATAAATTTTAGAATAATTTTGCTTTATTTATTTATTGTTTAGTAAATATCTTCAGGATACAGTTTTATTGTATTTTAACATATAAATCTGTATATCTAATTTCTTTTGATTTACATGGCATGTATTTCCATTCTTTTACTTTACTGTTTTATCATTCCATTTTCTTTTTCTCGCATTCCTGTGGGTTACTAGAACATTGCTTTACACTCCATTTTGATCTATCCATAATGGCTTTATATATCTTTGTTAGCTTTAGGTATCTTATTATAATACATAATTTATTACAATTTACTGATGTAGATGTTTCACCAGTTTGAGTGAAGTGTAGAAACTTTATCTTCTCTTACGTCCCTTTATACTTCTGTTTATAATATAAGGATATTAAATATTTTCTTTACATTTGCACTACATTGACAACCAGATCAGGAAATGTTGTGACTTGTGCTTTAATAATCAAAAATAAAAAAGTCAAAGGGAAAAGAAAGTCTACTGTATTTGCTGATATTTTAACTCTTCCCATTATTCTGTTTATAATATTCCAGAATTTCTTCTTTTATAATTCCTGTCTCCTCAGAGAACTTCTTTTAATCATTCCTTTAGGGTCGGTCTGCTGGTGACAAAGTTTTTTAGTTATGCCTCATTGAGAATGTCTTGATTTCTACTTCATTATTGAAGGATCATTTCACCAGACATAGAACACTAGATTTACAGAATTTTGAGCATTTGAAAAATGCTCTGACACTTCCGTCCTTCATGGTTTTTGGTAAAAAAAAAAAAACCTGCAATCATTCACTTTTTTCCTCAGTAAAGTGTTTCCGTATTGCTGCTTTCAAGATTATTTTTTTATTCTTAGTTTTCACAGCACTGACTACAGTGTGTCCTGGCATAATTTCTTCAGGTTTTTGGTTTGTTATTTGCACAGCTTCTGGAATCTGTTGGTTTATGTCACTTGCCACATTTGGGGAAAGTTTTAGCCATTATTTATTTCTCAGAGTACTTTTTCAGTGCTACTATTTCCCTTTTCCTTCTGGCACTCAAATGACACAAATGTTTATCTTTTGTTGTCATCCCACAGGTCCCGAAGCTCTGTCTATGTTTTTTAATCTACATTATCTATGTTGTTGATTGGGCAATTTCTGTTGTTGTCCTCAGTATCATTGATTTGTTCTTGTCACCTCCACCCTGCTGTTGAGCTTACCCATTAAGTCTTTTAAAATTTCAGGTATTGCATTTTTCAGTTGTGAAATTTCTATTTGGGTTCTCCTTATATCTTCTATTTATTTTCTGATGCTTTCTGTTCATTATTTTTACATTTGCTCATAAATGTTCACTGAACATTATCATCACATAATTCTGTTTTCATCTTGATATTAGCATCTGTTGATTGTTCTTATTCAAAGAGAGATGTTGATGATTTGTGATATAACAAGTGAGGCTTTTATTGAAATTTGGACTCTTTAGGTATTGTGAGACACTCCAATGCAGAAAGATTACTGATTACTGTCAGGAAGAGTTGGAAATGTGAATTCTGTTGCCTTCACTGACATCTAAGGAAGAAGGGGTACCTTGCTCCTCTAGGATGGAAGTGGGCGTTCAGCCTTCCACCAGGAGTGAGGAGGGGGACTTGTTACCCTTCCAGGTGTTACCCCACCAGGTGGGGTAAAAGTCTCCGTGCTCCGCTTTTGGTGCTGGTTGTGGGGGTGGGGCCACAGTGGGAGTGTTTGGCTGGAGTAGGACAGTTACTATCTAAATGTTTTTCTGCCTTACTAGATTATTTCTTTCATGGTTCTTTGGCTAAAGAGAGAGTTTACTGTATCTGAACTCACTGGTATTTCCAGACTGTTGGCTTCTGTAGCACCTAGTCTGGGATATATGAGGCAACAAGAAAAATCAGGAATCTCACTGGTGTGTCATACCTTGTGTCCCAAAGTTCCTAGTTGGTCTGCGTTCTTCTCTCCACATTTCAGAATATTTTACTGTTTTTTTAATAAGGCAAAATGTTGTTAGCTATATTTAGGGAGCAGAATAGGGGAAAATATGTCAACTACATCTTTCCAGAAGTGGATCTCCCCAATCATTGTTTGTTTGTTTAATCTAGTCACTACCCAAATACAATTACTCACCCCCCTTTAAACTGACCTAAAATGCTTTACAACACAAACACTTATTAGCCATTTGTCATTTTAATATGTATATATAATGCAGTTGAGTCAAGTATAATATATAGTGAAATATGCTATTATCCTCCTTAATGAGTTTTTCTTTTTGCCTTAACTGTTAGGATCATTAAAATGCTCTATTTGGAATATTGATTCTCTTTTGTAGCAGTAGACATTTATGTAGATTACAAATTTTGAAATATTTTGTAAACAGTTTTACTAAAATCAATTGAAAATGACGTTGCAATGTTGAAAAAAAATTTTGTGCAGGACAAATATGTCCCATACATTAATTCAATTTAAATGTCCATTAATGTCAAGGCCACTGTTGTCTTTTTTATTTCTAAATATATCTTGGTATGTTTTGAAAATTCCTTTCTAACTTCCTATTTGATGTGTCAAAATACAGAATCCCAGTTGTAGGTACACTTTTTTGGTTGGACTTGGGAAGGATGAATTGTTTTACAAGACTTGAATCTCCTGTGTGTATAATTTTTAAAAGCCAGTGTTTTCTATTATCTAGTGCTTTTAAATTCACATTTAAATAATTAAAAATTTAAAATACATTATATAATGTTTAAATTTTAATTCAGAGCACATTTTATTGAATTTAATTACATATAGGCATATTCTTTGAGTTAGCACAACAAAAAATTTAAACATTCTAATACAAACATTTTCTGTACCATTTACATAATGCAAAATGGCATTAATGATAATTTAGACATACATGTTAAAAAAAGAAAACCACAATTATTTGGAAATATGCCATAATCATAGTCCTTGATTTTTTTTTAAAGTAAAATATATGGACAGATTTCTATCTTAAAAGACACAAAAGCAGTTCATGTAATCATACTGTGTGATATTTTTGTAGCATTATGTAGCATTACAGTTAATTACAAATACTATTAAGCCTAATAATTTCATTTTTTATCAAATAATCTTTAAAAAATAATTTGTGCTAATTATATTCTGAAGTAAATTACAAATTAAATAGCAGAATCAACTTTTATGAACAAAAGTGCTTAAACATAATAGATAACACACCAAATAATACAAGGACTTTAACCAATACTCTAAACAAGTTTCACTAGCTTTCTCCCATTTAGGACATGAGGAATGAAGAAATAGATGTTATAGGTCAATCACATGAATAAAGTAATTTTGACAATATTAGTCATGAGTGAGCTTTACTGATTTCATAAATAAATTTCATTATAAAGGCATAATCAGGCATTCCTGACTTATTGAGAATCATACAGATATTATCATTATGACACATTAATCATGAAGATAAGTAAATCCAAATAATTGTCCTGTTCATTTCACAGGCCATCAAAAATACAACTATGTTTCCTAGATTCTCTTACAACTTGTGAATCACATTTTTGAATGCTGATACATTTTAATCATAGTACTGCTGAAAAGTAATAAATCTTTAAGCTTACTAAATTGTCTCATAGGCATCTCACCTAGCATTTACTAAGGATAGTTCTTTCCCTAAAGGTGAATTTCTAAGTGTTTATTATTCAGATTACAGATGTTACTCCTGTGCCTAGGCTAGATTATCCATTCAATTCTTCGCTCCTACCTACAGGTTAAAAATGTGACTTACCATCTGTTTTCCATTTGTCCTGATAAAATTATACATAGCTCTTTCTTTCATTCTCATTGTTTGGATGATAAATTTTATGGTCACACTAGTTATTAAGAAGTAAAATCAGGGAAAAAAATTAAGACTCTCCAAACAAGCAAAAATATATTGATTCCTTAGCACCACTGCAGGGACAGCATAAATATGCCACAGCATAGGTTCTATAAGCCTTAAGAATAAAATTATGGAACTTATTATTTAACTAACCATCTAAAGGAGTCCAATTTTTTTTAAAGACAGTTTATAGATAATAGCCTGATTTTTCTAAGACTCTCCTTAGTAGAAGGCCAAAGTTGTTCACCATGGTTGTTTAACCTAGACTCTTAAGGAGAACTCCTTGGATTTCAATTCCCAGTCCAAATACTTCATCTCTCAAGCTTGTTTCCTCATGTATAACAAAGTATGTAATAGTTTCTATAGCATATGATGATGTGGAAATTAAATGAGATAAAACATTTCAAAGTATTTAGCACAGTACCTGTCACATGCTAAGCACTCAACAAATGTGAGTCATTACTATTTAACAATATGATATACCATCAATAAAGAAATCAGTTGATAAGCTGCACATGTAACTGACCTTCCAGATATACTGCAAATACATTCCTAAATATCATGTGAAAGAAATACACATAGGGTTCCAGTTTTCTTTATATCTCTGCTAGAGAAGATAAATTCAGTTAATTAATCAAAATCAAAGTAGATAACATACATATGTATAATTTAAGATTCCAAAATAATTGAGTCATTCATCTATTTTTCATTCATTCAATAAATATTAATTCAGAGAAAGCTATAATAGGTCAGTGTGCCTTTTAATTAATACTAGAACACACACTTTTGAACTTGCTCCCACCTAAAAATCTTAATAGGAAGTACCTAATTCATTGCAAAACTTGTTCCATTAGAGAAGATTCATTTTCTATAAAGAAGTAGATTCAGTAAGTATTTTGCATAAATCTGCTTAAATGCCTCAAAGATGAAAACCCAGGAAGTATGTGAGAAGAACTGACATTTTTTTTGATGTATTTGATTATCAAATACAAACTTACAGAGACCAAAGTAAAGACAAACTTACAGGGACCAAAATTAAACAATGAAAGTTTTCTAAAAAATATATTTAAGATAAATTTTTGAATTGGATTCTGAGATATTCTAAGGTACTATGAGGTATTGGCAGGGAAGAGGAATAAGAAAGTTAGTGGAGTGGACACTAATATCTACAGTGCCATGCAGAGAACTACAATTGCTAAAATTCTTTATATATATATAAAGTCAATACATTACCTTAATGAAATTAAGGATAAAAATAAAGTTAACATTTGCACTACCCATAAAAAGTAAAGGACAATGGGAATTTAGATAAGTTGAAAGCTTGTATAATACCCTGTATAATAGTTTAGGAATCAGAACTCTCTTTGCTCATTGTTACACATTATTAAAATTCAACAGAAGTTTTTATTATATTGCTACTGTTTTTCAAAGAAGTGGAAGTAAACACCTAAGTTATAAAGGATTGGTTTATCTTTGTTAAAATATTTTGTTTCACTTCTGATGTCACAATTTAGATTGTTCTTCTAAAAATAAGTATAAATTTATAAAATTTTATTTTTACCTATACATTTATCCATTCACTACACACTTCATGACATCTACAATGTATCTTCTCTGTGGTAGGTACAGGACAAGCAAATAAAATCAGAATCCAAGAAGGAGACATATAAAAGCATATGTATAATACAGGTAAATAAGCACAAAAAATAGGGAGTTATTTGAGCACATATGATGGTACATAGTCAACTGGGAATGAGGGATCTGCCAGGAAGTAACATCAGATTCAAGTCTTGAAGGCTAAACTTGAGTTCATCAAAGGGGAGGAGCACAGGGGGCGGCATTCTGGATAGACTCTCTCTTTGTCAAGGCTAAATCAAGACAGTGGAGAAAAACTGCAGCATTAAGATATGGCAAAGGGGAGCCTATAGAGGTCTGTCATGGGAACTGGGACATTATGCTCCACAGCGAGAGTTGTGTTTTAGAAATATGGCCTGGCAGCAATGCTAAAGGGGCATCTCAGGTGGTTCAGTAGTAAAGAACCTGCCTGCCAATGCAGGAGATGTGGGTTTGATCCCTGAGGTGGAAAGATCCTCTGGAGAAGGAAATGGCAACCCACTCCAGTATTCTTTCCTGGAAAATCCCATGGACATAGGAGCCTGCTAGGCTACAGTCCATGGCGTTGTGAAGAGTTGGACACGACCGAGCAACTAAGTGCACACACACACAAAGCAATGCACAAAATGGATTAACAGTAGATGAGGCAGAGGTAGGAAAATCAAGACCTTAGTTGTTGCAGCTGGTGAGCATGGGGGTAGGGGAGGCAATGAGTGGATTGATGAGGCCAAAGGAACAGAGATTCATGACTAATAAATATCAGTTAATAGAGGAGAAGAAAATGGCACAGTGAACTTTAGGTTTCGGCCTGGGTAACTATATGCTAAGAAAAAAAAAAAAAGACTACAAAGTGAAGATTTCTATTAAAGCATAAACTGAATATGAAAATACCTGGGAATTTTAAGACATCATTAAATCTACTTAATATGCAGCAAAACTCTGTTAGCTGGAAAGATGAATAGAATTTCCCAAGGTGTCTAATATATAAACATGGTGTAATTTTCCGACTTCAGCTTTTCTGCTTGCTTAGTCAATTTACAATTGGTCATTTTTAGTTAATCCATTCATTTCCATGAGGTTACTTAATGGAAGCATTCCATTTTTTAACCTAACAGTGGTGAAATAATTTTCTGGAGGTTCCCCAGAGAGACTCTGAAAAGTCAAAATTCAACTTTAATTTCCTGAGTATCTTTTCTGCTTAAAGTTACTGGACTTAATTTTCTTTTCTAGGAAAAATAGCAAACACTGACATTTAAAATTTCAATTTACTACATAAATATTTCAGATTATTTTACACTGGGACAGCAATTTTTCTGCCTGAGAATCATTTTAAAAAATAATGGTGGCAAAATAGAAGAATACATATTGCACGTGAGGTACAAATTGTATAGGGATTTGTATATATCTAGTCACAAATGCATTTGAATTGGATTTAGTCAAAAAGCGGGTCTGACTAATTTTTCATTGAATTCAAATTGTTCAGATTAAGTAAACTGCTTGGTTGCCGTCATAGAGATACCACCCAAGATCATTTTGTCAAATTAATGATTAACTAAACCAAAACAAATGCCTGGTTTGTGGCTCTGAGACAAGAATATGATGAAACCTCTCATTACTTAAATGATGTAGTCTAGTCAATAAAACTTTTGTGGATAGTTCACATGTTTTATGCAAAACAGCACTGCAACAAACAGAAAACCTTCCAAGTCACACTTCATGTGTATTATTCATACTAGTAATATTTTAACGTTAGTTAAGATGTCATATAAAGCATAATTTTTCACTATCTCAATTTTATTATAATTTTTTCACCCAGAATATCATACAAATTTCTATAAAGCATTTTTTTTTTCAAATAATTGAACTTCTCTTTTTCAAGCATTAATCCCCTAGGTCACCAAGACTGTGGGTTCTTCACCACCATCCCAAACCGTCCCTCTTTGCCTGTAATTGTTCTGATCCCTGCCGCACTGTGAGATGGGGGACAGTGGACTCATAAGCACCAAGGATCCCCCAGCAGGCTTCACATATTGTCTTCAACCTAACCTAGTATCCTGCTGCATGATACCAATATTCCATTCAAAGCCACTGACAACTTTTCATGTCTATTCAGATTTCATTCGACTTGGTTACAATGAGTTTTATAAAATAGTTTAGTTATACACACAATAGAAAGCCTAAGGCACTGACAACAACATAGAACAACTTTAATACTTCTTGATTTCAGACAAAGGCATTAGTATTATAAACCGCTAATGATGCTTTTTGAGATATTTAGCCAGTGAACCACCATGAAACACAGAAGCATGCCTACAGCAGTGAGACATCATGTCTATGTGAACCTTAATCCTACATCAACAACAGCTGTAACTGAAGAAATCCAAAACCCACAGCTTAAAATAAAAAATGCTCTCTAGGAAGTCTAAGAATCACTTTAGCTTAATGTGGGGAAACAGTGGAGATGAGTGGAATGAGACTGAGAAATTTGCTTCTGTGGTGATGGAGAATCGGGGCAAGTGTACGGTTTTATTTCTTTGCCTTCAACCAATGTTTTCATAGGAAAAGTATGTTTTCCTTGTGGTGACTGCACAGTAACCGCCATTAACAAGGGTAGAAAGTGCTAATTCCCCCTTGATGACACTTCTTTTCAATATGACTGAAGAATGAACTTTACATGAAATTATTACAAACACTTCTACACCTAGTAAACACGATTGGGGAAAAAACCTTTTTAAGACAAATGGCAAAGCTTTGTTCTTCATGAATTCTTTGGTTATAAACAGGTCTTGAGTGACATTCACTCTGTGTACTATTTGGTTTTGCTGGTGTCTGTTCAGCATGTCCCTAAGGACTGGAATGAAATTAATTATCCTGGGTTATAGCTCATAGCACATACTTAATGCAATTTACCTTGCTTTATTGTAAAATACAGAATGAAAATATATCTGTAGATCTGCAATTGCAAAGCTACTACTGAGCATGTTACATAAACTTTTCATCCTTTTAAAAGTAGAAAATCACACGTTCTTAACAAGAAGCAGAAATAAAGCTGAAAGGCAAACTCTTTGTACGTCTTCCTGTGACTCTTGACATGATGTTTGTCACTCACTGGCCCACGGATTCCTGAGTTATATAAAGTATAATGAAACATAATTAGCACATCTTGGTTATTCTGTAACAACTTATTATCATTTTAGCAAAGCAAAAATTTCTGGAAGGAGGTGATACAAAATTGCTAAACCAAACAGTTCCTAAATACTCAAGAGAAACATGATGAAATAAGGAAATTTTGATCCTTATCAGTAAAGAAATAAAACTAATATTGATTCATTCACAGATTAGATGTGTAGGAATATGTGAGAATAAAATAGGAGAATCAAGAAAAACTGGAACAGAAAAAAAATAAGACTACATAAAAAGTTATAAAATAATTTGGCCTGTGGTGACAGAAGAAAAAATATACATCTGCAGTGCAACTGATTCACTTTTAGATTGGTTGTTACATGTTCTCTGGTGGAAAAAGGATGCCATTTATTTACTGTGTAACTAGTATATTCTCTTATAATATCCAAGCACATAGTGAATGACTAGGTCTTTTATGAAACTAAAAACATGAGATGGATTAACAGGCTGTGCATATTGAATTTTACATTTTATTTAGAAGGTAAGCATTTGGAAGCAACTTACATTTTTTCTGTGCCTAGGGCCACTATTTTCTATACCATTGCTATCGTCCAATTTCCTGTATAGAAAACAAAAAAGAAAATTACTGTATGTTACACTGCATCAGACTAAGTCAGTACACCATCAACAGCATGGCCATCAGGTTAAAATATGAGGTCAATACAGATAGGATTTATTCTTGCTAAAAATGGTGTTTAACTCATAATGTTGATTTTATTTGCATGCCATTGCTTGGAGAGGAACCATTGCCACAAATGAGTGACAAAGTCCTGTTTATTTTATGCAGAGAGAATTGCTTTTCCCCAAGCGTGAGTGAAGGCTTCAGTATATGGTCTAACATATGTTGCTTTGACCCATCAAGATAATAGCCACTGTGGAGGTCAGCCAGTATGTAGATAAAGGTGCTATAATCCAACATGTTTCTACACTGAATTAGGTTAAGCATGGCTCTTTGTCTCCTCAAAGTGCATCAGAATAAGACCACAATGTGGGCTCCAGATTCTTAAGAAAGACTAAACCAGGTTACAAGGGTACATAATTAATACCCTTCTAGATCTTATGGGCAGGCTTGAGCGTATTAAACTAGTCTCATCAGATAATGAATTCAACCGTATAATCAGTTACATCAAAATTGGGAGGAGGAGTTGTAGGTAAAATTGTGTGGATTAAATATCTTGGTGGATCAATTAATTAGCTCTTAGATAAATTAGATAAATTAATGAGCTCTTCACTGAACTGTTTAAATGAGTAGCTTATTATACTCTTAGTACTATTTTTAAAAGTCATCTTAAAAGTCTTTCATTCTGTGAATGGCTAGTATCTAAACACACATATAAGCATCAAATATAAAATATATTGATAAACAATATTCTCTTTATTTTTTTTAATTTTTTTTTGGTTACAACTTTCCCAGAATTTATTCAGGTGGTCATGTACAAGCATCAAATTTCAGTATTATATGGCTAAATGCTAACAAAGCATGTAAACAAATAATTATGATACTCATCCTTCAAAACTCTGCCAAAATGTCTTCATCTCTAGAAGCCCTCCTGAGATATATTAAGTACTCATCTGTTGTATTATCATGGCAAAGCATGCACAATGCTTTGTTAACAATATTCTCTTTAAAGACAAATTTATCTCCTAAACTAAAAATTCTAAAAAAAGCATTGGTGAAAGGCTGCTCTAAATGAGTCCAAGTGCCCTTCATACTTGTATTAAATCTAGAGATACTAACAAAACCTAAAGATGAGAAATGTGACTGCAAGGAAATGGAGGGGAATACTGGGGAGGCTGAGCTGGGAGAACAAAAGAATCCAGGCAAGGGAATAATAGTTTCAAATATCTGAGTAGCTGTCATGTTGTTCATGATTCCAAGTGTAAGAGTGTTAATCAGTACATGCAAATCAGAAAGATAACATGTTCAAATTAATACAAACAAGTTCTCTAGAAAGAGGTTCACATCCTTTTCAATCATAAGAGTCTGATTCTAAGACTAACAGTTTTTGTTGTTTTTTTTTCCCTTATCTGGGATTATGGAACTCTTGATATAACTATTGTATGCCCTGACTTTAGAAGCTTGTGTCCTATTGATTTGAGTGAAGTGAGTAAAAACAACTATTTGAATAATGTCTATGAATATACGCATGACAACTATCCGCCCTAGTCTTGCTATTTAGCTGTGGTTATAGAGCGCACACCTCAAAGCTCGTCTTGACTGACGAAGACAGACTGCAAGTGTCCATTTGGGCTGGTAACAGTTGTTCAGGCTTCCCTTGTCCTAGGTTTCTTTTGGCTGCTTTACTCTGGTCTCATTTTCCAGACCCTGGCTCTAATACTTGAACTTCAAACCCAGTTTCGGGCAACTCCCTCAGCCCAGTGGAGCTGGGCGCCACTCTCAGTTCCCTGGCATGGTGGAACCAACAACGCCCACTGTCACCAAACCAAATGACGTCACTGGTAATTTTCTTTCTAGTTCTCCTGCTCAGCTCAACTCTAAACAAAGGGGACTGTAAAAGAAATAGTGACACAATGTGTGTTCTAAGAAAAATAATAACAAATAGAATCTTAGGTCAGTGATCTTCAGCATGACAGAGAATCAAAATCAGTGATGGAGACTTTAAAGAAATATAGATGCTCAGGCATAGAAGCCATTCCATAACCAAAGCTTACGCTAAGCACTTTTACACAGAGAAAGCCATTTAATCCCGAAACCTTATGTGGTAATGTCATTAAACCCATTTTGTTGAAGAGAAAACGGAAGTACAGCAAGGTGTTGCAGACAGGTAAATGCCACTCTTCACCACAAATGGACATGTGCAGAAAATAACACACAATATACTCTTGTACCTTTTTTTCCTCTAACTGCAAACATTTTATTTAATTTCATATTTATCTGTATTTTATTCAAGGGAAAATTATTCTATAAAAAATAACACTTACATCTGTTCACCTTGTTCAAATTCTTTCCCATCACCTGTATAACAAAAGAAGAACTTGACTGTAAGGCTGGTTTATTATTCTTGTGGCACATATATGCTCAATTCTACTTTCCCCTGGATTCTCTCTGCCTGACCGCCCATGCTGTTCTCCTGCTCTGCAGTGCGAGGCGACAGCGGCACGTCTGCCATGTCCGCTCCTCCCCTGCTGTCCTGACTTGCAGCTTTGATCAAGCAAAACACTGGCTTCCCTGATGGCTCCGTGCATAAGGAATCCAGCTGCAATGCAGGAGACATGGAAGACACGGGTTCAATCCCTGGATGGAGAAGATCCCCTGGAGAAGGACGTGGCAATCTGCTCCAGCGTTCTTGCCTGGAGAACCCCATCGACAGAGGAACCTGGCTGGTTACAGTCCACTAAACACAAGGTGCATGCTGAGGTATAACTGACAAAAAATTGATCAAGCCTAGTCTAGTGCCTGGGATCATCAAAAACAGGACTGACTGACTTGTAATTATTAAAGTTACTAAACAGCACAAAATAGGAAAAAATACAGAATGCAAGATAAATTTTCCTTGGGGGCCAACGGTTTCTCAGTCTGTAATCCATCAGAAACAGGCCGTGAAAACAGGTCTGGCAGACAACGGCTCTTTCGTGAGAATTCAAAAATGTCGGATAAAACATTTTTAAAAACGAGTTATCTAAGTGAAAGAATAACTGCTTATCTTTGAGATCTTTTCTATTAAGTTGTCACAGAATTTTCTAATATTCTAGTACCAAAGCATGTTATCACTTAAGTGGCGTGTTGGTACCAGTAACACCAAAGAAAAGGGGATAAAAGGCATATTTTAACACTAAAGCTTTTTAGGAAGTTAAAAAAAGAAGTCCATCAATATAAGCTCCTAGCTCACAGTCATCACTAATATTAACATAAATACCACTACAAATAACAAAAGTTAGGTTTTTTCCCCCAAAACTCTAAAGCCACTGTAATGTAGTAAGTCATAACATGAGAATGTTATCTAAAAAAACAAATCTTACCTGAGGGCTTCTTTTTCTTTTGAGTATACATTTCAAAAAGCAGAATAGCAGTCACTAAGAGAACGACCTCAGCAACTATTGCACAAAATGCTTTAAGGGGTACCAAATAGCTGAGCACGACAAGTTCAACGTGTCCTTCACTCTCCCCTAACTCGAATATTGCATGGCACCAGTAAGTTCCCTGGTCGTCCTCTGAAAGTTGTGTTATCTTCAGCCTTGTTTCATTAGCATGTTTTCCACTGATCACATACTTATCATTCACTGGAACACCAATAGGAACCTAATATAAGGAGACATTAAAATCCATTCCTGTCATAGTGCATAAAAAATGTATGTCCTGAATGATCTAGTTTTGAGTGAAAGCTACAATTCAGTACCAAGAAAACAGCTTAGTAGCAAAAGGGCATATTGAAATTTGTGAGAAGTTATACGTAACAGCCTTGTCTAACTCAATGAAACTATGAGCCATGCTGTGTAGGGCCACCCAAGATGGACAGGTCATGGTGGAGAGTTCTGACAAAACGTGGTCCACTGGAGATGGGAATGGCAAACCACTCCAGTATTCTTGCCCTGAGAACCCCATGAAGTATGAAAAGGCAAGAAGATAGGACACTGAAAGATGAACTCCCCAGGTCGGGAGGTGCCAAATATGCTACTGGAGATCAGTGGAGAAAAAACTCCAGAAAGAATGAAGGGACGAAGCCAAAGCAAAAACAACACCCAGTTGCGGATGTGACTGGTAATGGAAGTAAAGTCCAAAGCTGTAAAAAGCAATATTGCACAGGAAACTGGAATGTTAGGTACATGAATCAAGGCAAACTGGAAGTGGCCAAACAGGAGATGGCAAGAGTGAACATCGACATTTTAGGAATCAGTGAACTAAAATGGACTGGAATGGGTGAACTAAACTCAGATGACCATTATTTCTACTACTGTGGGCAGGAATCCCTATGGAGTAGCTGTCAGCCTCAACAGAAGAGTCTGAAATGCAGTGCTTGGGTGCAAGCTCAAAAAGAACAGAATGATCTCTGTTTCTTTCCAAGGCAAACCATTCAATATCATGGTAATCCAAGCCTATGTAATGCTGAAGAAGCTGAAATTGAATGGTTCTATGAAGACTTACAAAACTTTTTAGAACTAACACCCAAAACGGATGTGCTTTTCATTATAGGGGACTGGAATGCAAAAGTAGGAAGTCAAGAAACACCTGGAGTAACAGGCAAATTTGTCCTTGGAGTACAGAATGAAGCAGGGCAAAGGCTAATAGAGTTTGCCAAGAGAATACACTGGTCATAGCAAACACCCTCTTCCAACAACACAAGGGAA